TAAAAGAGTCGATCATCAGATATTGTCCAAGATTAACCTTCAGGGTGGATACAGCTCGCTCACACCGAGGACCTATCCACATCATCATTTACCCAGAATGCTTTGTGTGTAAATAAAATGGCCCCGTCCGTGTACTATTTTTTAAACTTTTAGTTTAAAAGTTATAAACGCTAAACATCCTACAGTATTTTTACAGTCTATTTTAGTTAAAATATATGTTTATTAAATAAAGTCTAATGTTACAACTAATCAGGGATCCCTTTAAAGAGCTTTATAAATACAGTTGATGATGATGATGATTGTTTACCTGAAAATTATTGGAACCTATGTAGCAGTAATAATAATCACAATCACCATCATTAACATTATTTTTATTATTATTTTACCACCTGACCTACAGGCGTGTGAAACAACAATTCAAAACCATTACCACTGAAAGTAAAATACTTTGATCATAAATAACATTTAATAGTCCACAATTCTAATATTTTCATTTTTTGGATTGGTTATTTAAAAAGATTTTTGGTAAACATATTTAAAGTCACAAGTAAATGTAATATACAGTAAACCATGCTTTTAATGAGAGTCTGAGCAGATCTGAAGATATAAAATAACATGTTTAAGTTAGTAGTGACCTTTTCACAGCTACTTATGTGAAATTACAGTACTGTAATTTCCCTTTAGGATCAATAAAGTATTTTTGAATTGAATTAGAATGTGCATTAAGCCTGGGCAGTGTGAAGGTACTTATTGAAACATGGTGGCGGTATATAAAAACTATGAGTCAAGTGAGGTGAAGTGCCACATTTTCATAAGGCTGCTATAACAAAGGGCGTAGAGACACCTCCGTCTGTTGCACCTCTTAATCTCCAGGAAAGGTTTCAAAAAAATAAAAATAAAAACCTCAGAATGAGGTAGTGACAGACATGTTACTCGTCAGCGTGAAAAGGTGGGCCGATGTAGTGCTGACTGAGCTTCAGCGACCACCCACCCATGGGTTTCTAAAGTCAAACAAATAGTTGGACTCCTTTTGGATTTAAACACTAATCTCCACACAAGCTCCTCGCTGCAGACGAGGACATCGGCATGAAGACATTTCTCACAGAGGTATGCAGCAGCRTAAATATGACCATGGTAAGAATCAGATTATTTTGAAACTTAAAACCCTAAAAAGACGTAGTTGAATTTTGATCTGTTCGACATACCCCACCCCACCCCATGCCTCTCTCTGGCTCTAATGCTCACAAGCAGCTGTTTCTCTATTAATTATCAGTTACTCTACATCTACAGTCATCCCTGTGTTTATGATTTATTCTACTGAAGTACACCCTTGAAATAAAGAGAGGCTAAATTAAAGCATTTCTTAAAAACATTTATCATAAATCTGAACATACGTTGAACACTTTGTCAGAGGAGAGATCTTGAGTTAAACTATAGCTCTTGAGATAAGTTGCAGATGTTTGCATCAAAATCTGGATGGTTTGAAGCACAATAATGTAAAAACAAAAAATAAATAAAACAATAACGATTGTTGTGACTTTGACTCACTGTGATGATTGGCACAAATCTTCAAGGTTCGGTCTCTCCTCATCAGGAGGCGGATTGTGCCTTTCTCCTTGTGTTTCAACAGCTTGACGTCACCRGTTCCCCTCTCCTTCCACTCTGGTGGGTCATTCTCAGAGGCAAAACGGTACAGTTTGGCCCTCCTGTGAAAACATTCATTGGATTTTAAAAGGGAAATACTTGAAGCTTCCCAATTACAAACATCATTTGTCATAAAAAAAACAGCTATGAGTATAATCAACAGAAACTGTACACGACCCGTTTTGCCAAAAGTTTAAACCGATTCAGCAYAAATTTCCTTAAAACACACACTTTTGTCCAAACTTATGACTATAAATTAAACTTTCAAATGGAACTTTGTGCCATTAAAAATAACCCAGTATCACTGAAGCAACTCACATTTTAAAGAGCTCCTCCTCATCTTCTTCTAACGTTTTAACATCCTGCTCTGGAAGAGACACGATGGGCTCAAAGTGGGGATCATGATTGGAGTCCTCTGCGTTCTCTGCAGTGGTGTCATGCTCTTCCTGGTCCTGGAAGAAAAAGAGAAAATTCATTAAAATCAGTAAAAACAATAAACCATAAACAAATGTAAGGATTCCACTTGTGAAGCCTCCATAAAAACTAACAGTAAAGTCACAAACAGGTTAAAGAGGTTTCAATGGACGTGAGAGCTCTTTGGTTGTAGCTTTTGTGGACAATGGGTTCTCCTCGTCACTGCTGCTGAGCCCAGCGTTTTGAATGTAGCTTACATRCACTGCATTAAAACTGCTCACACTGTGATAAGAACATCTACAATCACCTCATTGAGTTTTGAAAAATATACAAATGTTTTTAAAAAAGACACGTGTTTAAAAACTGCATTAAGAGAGTACAAGACACAGAATCAGAGGAAACTTTCAACAAGACAAAAGGTTTCCAAGTTGGTGACTCAGGCATATTTGTATTTTCTATATTACCGGGTTTTAAATGGTCACTTTTGCATCAGGAGCTGGCCATGTTCCTGTGTACAAGACTTCATTATTTACTGCTAGCCAAGTGGTGTTTAATGTTCTGACAACTTATTGTGAAGTTGCCCGACTAAAGGCCTCGAATGGAGCAGGCTAGTTTATTTAGCGGCTAATAGTTGAGGTTTTGCAGTAGAAAATAGTAACTAACTGAACTTGATAATATCCGGGAGTTTTGGGGTCACCCTTCTGAAACTAAAGGAGACCACACTATAATGTTTTCAAAGCAAAACACAACTATTTGACAGGATTACCCTCTGCGTCGCCCTACCATGAGTGCTAATCATGTTAGCCACAAAGCAAACAAAGGCGTAAAACATAACTGGCCTCGATGTCCTCCCCGCCAGATATTGATACGCTAATTAAAAAAAAAAACAATACACAACTTATGTTAGAAATAAATCAGTTGTATTCGCCACAGTTATGTGTTTGATGCTAATGCTAAGGGCTGCTAACATGCTGGTTGCCTGTGAACACTTCAGGGTACTTTCCTGAGCTCGTAAACCTCAAAAGAGATATTAAATTGAATGTCTCTGCCGACACACAGCACAACACCAGTTGTCGAAACAGTTTATATTAAATACAACTTCACGACACTAAAATAAACCACCGATTAGCTTTCCTAGCATCACGGAAGGCAGCATCATTGTCGGCATTTCTGTCTRGCAGCTTCCTTTCCAAAGTTTGACGAATTTTCAAACCCAAAATACAAAGCCCGTCACCAAATTTCAACTTGAAATAGAAAAGGATACATTAAATGACCCATAAAGCGAGGCCTCACCTTTGGGTCTGCCATATTAAAGTAGATGTTTAAAGATTATGGAAGTTGTTTGAGAGATTCAAATCCCAAACTGGCCGCCGTCCGCCTTCAGCTTCTCTCACTTCCTGCTGGAGCTTTCGCGCGCCGAATTCTCTGCGCATGCCCGCGCCTCTGCTGTGACAGCGCGCGCTACCACCACACTGTGGTCGGTTCAACAAAAGCTTTGAGCACAGGTCTAATTCTTCATACTTGAATACAAAATATTTTATCAAATCTGCACATCATATTCTAGTTTGGCAGCAAACATTTACCCTCCTGCTGTCCTTGGGTCAAAATGACCGATTTGATCTAAATTTTAAACCGAGGTCCTCTGGGTCCTTTTGACCCAAGGGCAGCAGGAGGGTAAATTACATCCAACCATATCAGTTATCCAAGAGTGCAATAAACTGTTCCCTTACAGAATATTGGTTTATATAAAAAAGTATGTAGTTTGGATTTATATAAACTATTACACCGAGGCTGCATTAGTTAATATGGAAGCCCATTTCCGCCACCCTGATAAAAAAATAAAATTTGTATCTCATAATATCTCTTTGACTTAGCTATCTCATAATTATGAGATACTGTCTCATAATTATAACTTAGCTATCTCATTATTATGAGATAGTATCTCAT